GACAGAGGACTGGGGAATGACTACTAATGGGTAGTGGATTTCTTCTGGGGATATGACAAAGTTCTGGAATAGTGATAGTGGCTGTACACTGTAGTGAGTGTAAAACTACTGAAATGTATACTTTAAAGGCCTAAATGTTATGGCATGTGAATTATACAGCCTAATTTTTTTTAAACTTCCAACAGGTAGATCAAACTGAAATTAAGACTTTAAGAAAAATATGACTATGAGAATGGTTTCCTAACATGATTTGAAGTATCATTGAATTCCAAAGCCATCTTCAAAGACAAATTAGTGTGCACACACTCTCCCAAAATGATTACTTTTATAAAAAGATAACTTACTTTCAGATACAGAGGTTCTATTAAGTATATTAAAATTATCACAGTTGTCTATAAAACCAAATTCTACTTCATCCTTCCATATCCTAAATGTAATTTAGATCTGTTTACTGCTTAATCTCATATAATCTTTATACCTTAAGATTATTTTTAAGACTGGCAAGATTTAAAAAAACATTTCAAAATCCTGGCCACAGTCAGACTGGAAGGCTGGAATATGAAATTGTTTTATTTTCATGTTTAAGTTCCAAGTTAAATCAAGCTTAAACAAACATCCCACAGTTTTGTAAGAATTGCTTTATAACTCAATATTCAGAGGTCAGATTTTACATGGCACAGACCATGCTGCCATTTAAAATAAGTGGTTTCTGTAAACTGTGGTTTAGCACGCAGAGGAGTTTTGGTTGCATTCTGGTATGAGTCAAGAGTGAATAAAGAAGTTACACACACACACACACACACACACACACACACACATATTTACTTAAGCGGGAAAAGTAGTACTTACAGACAGACTGGTTCAGAATTCACATATTTCATCAAGAAAACTTGACCAGTGGCATAATAGAACAAGAACTGGGATGAGAAGAATAAGGTGCTATCATGGTTCTGTCAATAACTAGTGGATAGAGTACCTTTAAAGTAATTTGACCTGTTTTCTCATTCATAATATGAAAAACATGGATTCCAAGGTTTCAAAATCTTGCGATTCTCCAGTCTTAGATTCTATTGTTAAGTAGCTTAGTGCTGTGGGAAGCCCAGAGATTACACTAGGCAGCTCTCATATTTTTGTGTACCTAGGAAGCCATGCCATATAGAATAAGAAAACTTAGGACTTCCCATAGGAAAGAAGTAACAAGAAAAGTGTACACAGCTCCTGCTGGTACTGATTTACTCCTGTTGGACCTAATAAAGAGAGTACCTTTGCCAGTTTTCCAGGGGATAGGAGTGGTCCTTATGTCTCACCACACCCACCATAGTTAGTTTTTCCTAAAAGAAATCCAGTGGGGACTACAAAAATGATTGTGAAGCACCAATACTTTTAGTCACTGCATGACTAATAGGACAAATCTATTTTAAATTAAAGAAACAAAACAGCATTTTCTTCCTCACACAGAAATAATTTTCATTCCAACAGTAAAGGAGTCCTAAATGACCACAATGAATAATTTGAGTTGCAAATACTTAGTGTCAGTCCAAAGAAAATAAATTATCTATAGGACTTGAAAGGTTTAAAAGCACTGAAGTTCAACATAAATCTATTATTATTCAAGACAGCCTTTAATACCATTCTGTTTATAACTTCAACTTCTAGAGTAGATAGCAGTATTAAAGTCTCACTGAGGTCGGTGACTACACATGCCCATAATCCCAACCACTCAGGTGGTTGAGGCAGGAAGATTCAAAGTTCCAGGCTAGCCTGGGCAATTAGTGAGACTCTCTCTCGAAATAAAATAAAAAGGGCTGGGGGAGTAGCTCAGTGGTAAAGCACTTGCCTAACATGTGCACGGTTCTAGGTTTAATCCCTAGTACCACAGAAAAAAAATTTTCTTAAATAATATTGAATTCACCATCATATGAACTGGTTCATGGCAGTCAAGGATCAAATGAGGTCAACTTAGGAAGCTGTTTCAGATGACTCCCAAGACAGCTTTTCAGAAGAGCTCCTACACAACAGGACAGTCCTGGAGAACCTGCCCCTTATTTGTTCCCCTCCCCTCCCTATTTGCACTTGTGTGTATGCACAACCTTTGTCAAATCTGGGTGATGTCCACTGCTTGATCACATTAAATAACCATCTGTTTGGGTGTGCTTAGTGACATTCCATTCAGGAAAGGTACAGAGCTGGGGATCTCAATCTGATACCCATGCATGGACCTGTAGGCAATGCATGGACAGACTACATGCACTTACTGAAGTTGCTGAAAGTCTATGCAGGCTTTTGTCTCTCTGCACATTTTCTGGGAAGGGAAGATCAAAGATCTTCTGAGGCTGTAAATCAAGGAAATTTAAGAACTACCAACTTACTGCTAAAAACAAAATGGAAAAAATCCACCAAGAGTGTTCATGTGAATGAGATAGGAAGTAATACATATTATTAGAGCTGCAAAATTATAAAGGGTGCCATCTTTTCAAAACAAAGGAAAATATGATCTTTTGGTCAGAAGCTGTTATTCTACAGGGGCAGGTAGTCCACTCCCTTCATCCTCTAGTCTAGATAAGGAAAATGAGACTAGAAAGGCTCCACCCAAGACCACAAATCACAGAGTTACTAAGTGGCAAAGCTGAACCTCAAACTAGGCCTGGCTCCTGCCAGAATGCTAGAGCATGAAATTAAGTTTATACTGTTTTAGAATGGGTTTGAGCAAAATTTCCCATATCCTTATAAATATGCCTCTCCACTAAAAAGGCTACATTCTAAAATTTTTAAATCAAACTTAGGCATAGGAATTTGATACACTTAAATACAGTAAATACATTAGTCTCTCTTTCTCTTGGGGAATACATTTCAAGATATCCAGTGGAGTCAAGAAACCACAGATGTACCAAACCCTGTGTATACTATATTTTCCCTCAGACATACCTACCTATGACAGTTTAATTTATAAACTAGGTATAGTAAGGGATCAACAATACCTAATAATAAAATAGAACAGTTAAAACAATATACTGTAATCAAAGTTATGTGACTAGGTCCCTCCCTCTGTTATCTGATAACCAAGATGGCTACTAAGTGACCAACAGGTGGGTAGTGTATACATTGTGAATACAATCAATGAGAAAATCCTTGGGTAGAATGTACAAGATTTCATCCTGCTACTCAGAATGTCATGTGCTTGAAAAATTACCAACTGTTTATTTCTGGAATTTTCCATTTGGTATTTTTGGACCTCAGTTAACTGAAACCATAGAAAGTGAAACCATGCATAAGGGGGGCTTCTGTACCCTTAAATCATTAATGAAACCACATACCTTTCGCAAAAGCCTATTTCACAAGTAGATTTATAAGGTAAACCTTAATGTCTCATTATCTCCTCAATGTCCTGTTGTACTATTGACTGCAACTTTACACTTTTTTTTTTTTTCTTTTCTGCAGTGCTGGGGAAATCCAATGGAGGATCTCATGCTTGTTTGGCAAGCGCTCTACTATTAAGCTATACCCCCAGTCCAGCTTCAACTTGAAAAGCAGCACAGGTAGGCTAGGGATATGGCTCAGTGGTAGAGTACTTCCCTACATGTGCAAGGTCCTGGGTTCAATCCCCAGCAACAAGCTAAAAAAGGGAAAATAAATAAATAAGTAAAGCAGCACAGGTTACAAATTCATTGCATAAAGCACTTCTAAGTGTAATAGGGAAAGAGTTTTTGATAGTCTTTGAAAAAAAATATACTGAATTCCTCATGCTGCCTCCAAGAGTGGATCTGTACAATTTCAATCTGTGAGAACCCTGACCCTAAAGAGTTTTCCTTTCAAAGGTTAACATTGATAGTGTTGCCTAAATGCTAAATGATTTTATTTAACCCAGGTAATTAATAAATTAAACTGGAAACCTTTCCAGTCTCCTGTTCACAAACACTAGAACCAAAGTTACTAGGCAGTCATTCTGAGATTGGATTAAAAATGATTGCTGTCATAAAAAACTCACAGAACCATTTGTTCCAATGCCAAACCTTGCCTTAACATATGAACATACTTTAGAGTAACCAAAAACTCAATCTCACTTGAGAAGCAAAATGAAAGTGACATCTGAACCTAAATCCAATGACAGCATGTCCTTCAATTTCAAAGGAAGTACTTTATTCTCTAAAAGAGCTTTAATGACACACAATTCTGTGAAATACACAAAATCTCCAAAGACAGACATTACAGTAGTTTTTGATTGCTTATGAATTCTACTTAGCCCTTTCTGCAAGCTCTTTCCCTAACCTCCTACTCCCCAAAGGTGGAACTAACTGCAACAGGCCTTAGGAAGCACCTGTGGCCTGAAAAGGCTGTGACCAATTCTCAAAGCCTTCTTGGCTGCAGGTTCAACTAATCTATTTTGGGTCAAGGAGACTCTCCGCCACCCCAATGACCTCAAGTGGACAAGATCAGTTTGGGAGAATGCACTAAGAGAATTTTTTTTTTTTTTTTTCACCAGGCCAGCAGCCCCGCTACTGGATGGAGATTTGGTCCAGCACGATCCAGACGGTGGAAGAATGCGGCTGGGCTGTCGGACACTCTGCTCTGGATTCGGCAGCTTGTGGCCAGGCCGTGGTGTTAGAAGCACGCGAAGCAGGGATCCTCAGGGCACGCAGAGGGAAGGAACCAGAGCGAGGATAGGAGCCTGCAGGTGTCGCCCAGGGCAGACACAGCCAAGTGACTAAGAGTGCGGCTCTGGACTGGAACAGACTGGTCACATTCTCAGACGGTGACCTTGAGCACCTGGCTCGACCGCTCTGCGCCTCAGTTTCCTCATCTCTAAAATGGGGGGTGGGGTGTTCAAACGGAAAACGCGCCTCGGAGCGCTTGGCACGGCGCCTGGCTGCTAGTAAGCGCTCCCTGCACGCGAGCTCCGCTGGCTCCTCTCTCCGCCCGGAGGAACTGGGGAAGCCCAGCGCAGGGGAGTCCCCGGGAGGCGGATCCCAGGCCGGGGCGGCGAGGACCCCCGCCGGACTCACCGAGCACGTCGGCGGAGCGGTGCCGGGCCACGAAGCACGCGTCGTCCCCGTAGCACGCGCCCTTCTTGAGGAGGCCCTTACGGAAGTCCTTGCCGAAGCCGCAGCCCGCCGTCACCAGTCCGTAGTCGCCGCCGCCGCCGCCGCCGGCCCTGGRGTCGGTCTGCGAGAGGCCGCCGAGCACGGCGCGGGCCACCAGCCGCCCGTACGAGAGGACCGAGAACATCGCCGCCGCCGCCCCCCCGAGGAGGCGGGGGGTCGGGGGAACAGGAGGACGCGGAGGCCCGGAGCCGGCTCTCTCCTCAGCTGCAGTCGCACCGCCGCCGGGGCGCTCCTCAGAGCGGCGCGCAGTAGCCGCCGCCGCCCCTGCTCGCCGCGCAGGGCCTCGCACACGCTCCGCTGCGCGCACCGGAGCCAGAGCGAAGTCAGAGCCAGCAGCTTCTCCGCCTCAGCCCAAGTGGGGTCCCGGCTGCAGCCGCCGCTGCCGCCGCCATCTTCCGCTCCACTAGCGTGTTCCGGGCCGCGCCGGCAGCTCCGCCCCCTCCACGGCCCCGCCTCCAGCCACGCCCCCGATTCGCGGTCCAGGTCCAAACCCCGCCCCCTCGGGCTCGCTGCCCTATGCAGTCACCCAGGTCGAGCGTGCGCAGAGGGTGTGGACACAATGTCTCCTGGGAGTTGTAGTTGCTTTGGACTTGGCTGCATAGGGTCCAGGACCTAGGACAATTCCCCAGATGTGGGACTTGGGTTAAGTTACTGAGAATTATAGGTGGGCTACTTTGGCGTTTTCTCCCGTTTTAACAGTATTTCTAACAGTATTTCTCCCGTTTAACAGTATCTTTTAAAGGCTATTTAAAAAATAACAGCAGCATCCCTTTCAACAAAAACCTGAAGGAAACCAGAATTGGAGTCACATTTTATCTTGTAGAATACATAATGAAAAACAAGAGATATACAGACCTACTGATGCTTCCACAATTAATATGCTCTAAGAGGTTTAGACTGACAGTCTGTTTTCAAAGGAGAGACTTTTTTTTTTTTGCATAGTGGGTCCCCCCCGCCCCCCTTTAGGAAGAACAGTGTGTTAAATATCCCTATCAGAGTAGCCAGGACACTGATAGAGAAAGAAGCACTGCCACTGTGGACATGTCATCTGTAAACATTTCAAACTTTGCAGATGGTTCTGCCTAATTGGGAGTAAAAATTCCAGGCTCCAAATTTCTTTACCCCAGATATTAATTTTCTTGACATTCTCTCTGGCCAAGCAGGTATTTTCCCAGCTCTGGTCTAGGGAGAAGAGGGAGAGCCAAAGCCTGGAGAAATGGGCCCTCTTGCCTCTCTCCTGCCACAGCTGCCACCTCTTCTCATAAGAGGGCAGCCATTACCAAGAAAGGCAACTCTCCTTTCTTTTTAAGCTCTCAGCTCAGCTGTAACAAAGATATCTTGTAGCCTCCCCCAGATATTGACTATTGTAAATGACTCTATTCTGAAGTCATTTAGTTGGGTAACAGTTAAATCTAAAGGGAAGTTTGTAATCTAACGGGAAGATACAATCCATTTGTAGTGAACATGAATGTATTAGCACCCAGGTTAGGCACCATGCCCTGCAGGGGTAGTAATGTAATTCAGCCCCTGCATATCTTTACTACCACATTTCAGGCCAAGTCCTTTTAGCTAACTGGCCTCCAGCCATGCTTACAGCTGCTTGAAGATCTTTACCCTTACTCTTCCTTCTACCCATTATGGAGTAATTCCATTATCTGAGGGCCCTATGCTTTTCGTTGCTGTATTCCCAGAACATCTGGGCACACAGTAAATACTTCCTTCAATAAATGAAAAAAAAAGAATAAATAGTTCACTATAATCTAAGTTCCCCCAAGGGCAAGGATCATTTGCCATTGTAGTATTAGAATCTAATGCAATGCCTGGCACATAATGGGAAAATTTGTAATGCTTACTGAATAAAAGAAGGAATAAGGAATAGGAACCATATGATAAAAGGAAGTTTGTTGAATAACAGAATGATTGAATAAAAGAAAATTGAACTTTGGGGCAAATTATCTAATTTGAAATAATTTTTAGTTTAATTCAAATATAAATATATATCACCCAAGAACATTGGTCCTTTTCCAGTTGCTTTTAACAGGAATGCAGTTACTTTAGGGATTCCCATCTAGTTCTTTAAATTATTCCTTTTTATACTTTTTAAATATACCTACAGTCCTGCCAACCATCCACTCAACACACATTATTCTGTTATCCTAATTACTGTCATCATTAAACACTTTTGCAGCTCACAGGGTGCCAAGTACTCTATATGTTCTTGTCCTCAAAAAATTGAACTGAGTAAATCACTCCACACAGTGAGTGGGATTTTGTCAAACATATAGACCAAAAAAAAAAAAAAAGTTAAAAGGATATGCCAGATAAAAGGCATACCAATTCCAATAATATAATCACACCTTGCAATTTTTTATGGCACAAGAATTGGAGAGTGCCCAAAACAGCTGAGGGGGGTGGTCGGGCACCTCTTGGATTTCTCTGCTGAGGTATTTCTGTCTCTACCAGCTGCACTAAAGGTTGTCCTTTGAAGCATGCACACCACCAAAAAGTCCCAGCAGGCCTGTCAGGTAATTCTACCCCAAGGACAATTTTTTTTTAAATAATGGGTCAACCCCTATTCCTTGCCTTGTCAAACTCCTCCAGACCTTTAGTTTTCAGGGCATATATTACCCAATTTCCATGTCAGTCACAAGAACCGGTCGGATTGGATGAGTAGGAACATAAGATGTGACTGTAAACCGGTAACCTCGGCTCTGATGGGGCTGCTGTTTTCAGTCAAGTGATCTGAGTGCCTTGAGTTTCCGGCAAATGAGATTCTTGCTAATGGGTTGCTCACCGAAGCACACGGCAAACGGAATCCTCTCTGAAAGTTTCCTTGCTCTTTTTTGGAAAGGAGAGGAGACAGGGCGTCAGATTCCCCTGAATCATTGATTACAGGGTCAGCTCTGAAGTTTCAACAGGGTGGGGCGGCAGGAGAGGGGACTTTAAAAAAAAAAATACCTCTTCTGCCCTCGCCTGGGAGCACGATCCATGTTTGACATTTTGCTGGACTTCAGAAGCCCTGAGTTTTCTTCCTTAACGGAGTTACATTCCTAGCACTTCAAGGATTCCTGGGAGGTCAGCTGCCACTCTCAGAGGAGAGCAACTGCAAAAAATACCATCTGTGCTCCCAGGGCACCTCTATGGCATTAGGAAAGAGGTTTGCACTGGGGTCACCACAACCTCAGTTCCTAAAAAAGAAAAGAAAAAAAAATCATGAATTTTCTGTCACATTAATACACTGATCTCTTCTGAGTTTTTTGCTAACCTAATCAAAAGGATTCGTCAATGAAAAGGCTTCTCAACTTTGACACTATTGACATTTGGGGCAGAATAAGTCTTTGTTGTGGGGAGGCATCCTGTGCCCTTGGAGGGGGCTTAGCAGCATCCCTGCCCTGTACCCACTAGATGCCAGTAGCACCCTCCTCTCCCATACTCACCCCCCTGGAACAACCACAACTGTCTTCAGATGTTGCCAGATTCCTGAGAGACAAAGTTGCCCCTGGTTCAGAACCATCGTGTTATGGCAATGCTAGGCAAGTGGAAAAATACTTCTGAATCTCTTGCTATGTTTTAGGCATTTGGCTAAGGATGAAATAACCATTGGTGACTCTGTGGCAGCTATAGTGTAGTTGGGATAGTAGGAGGGTTCAAATTAAGTAAATATAGAGAAAAAAATAAGTGCCACCAGTGGAAATAAAGGAGGTATTTGGGAAGGAGTAATTTGGTCCATGGTGGGTAGAGAACACTGGGGGCACTTCATCAAGAGACTTTAATGGACATCTAGAGGTCTCAGACAGGGGCCTAAGCATTCTAGAAGGAAACAATGTAAATTCAAAAATGTAGAGTGGGATCGGAGAAGGGCAGGCAGTTCAGTGCAGCTCCATCCTAGGATCAGAAAGAGGAATAATGGAAAATGGAAGTAGGAGGTTAGGATTTATTTAGTCCTAAAAAGGGATGAAGTACTAATACATGTGATAACATGGACGAACCTCAAAGTCAACATGCTAAGTGAAAGAAGCCAGACACCAAAGGCCGATATCATATGGTTGCATTTCATGAAATGTCCAAAATAGGCACATCCAAACAGGCGGAGAGCAGATTAGTGTTTGCCAGGGGCCATGGGGAGTGACCACTAACAGGTACAGGGTTTCTTTTTGCAGTGATGAACATGTTCTGGAATTAAATAGTGGTAATGGTTGCATAACCTTGTCAATATAGCAGTAACCATAGAACTGTATACTTTTAAAGGGTAAATATAATGGTATATGAATTCTATCTTAATTAAAAAGACACAGTAGAGGATCTTATACATCAAGCTGAGGGTGTTTAATGCTGGAGACTCCAATGGGTCACCAAATGCTTTTATTATGCCAGATAACAGCAGTGATGATAAGGGTAATGAGAGATCAGTAGATGTCACAGGCTGAGGGCTTCCCTGTGCTTTGCCGACACGATCTTTTCTGATTACCTACTGAAATCACCTCCACAGTCCTGTCTGCATTTTTCTTCATAACAGCATTTTCTTATTTTTTCTGATGCTGACTAAAATGTAAGTTTCATGAGATCAGGGACTATTGTCCGTTTTATTCAGTATACTACTTAACCTCTGAAAGGGAATATAACTATTCCAAAAAGAAGAAATGGCAATTCTCACTGTCCAGAACAGTGCCTGGCATATAACAGGTGCTAAATAAGCAATGCTATTGGATAAAAGAACCTTAGTGATCACACCAAACAAGCAACTTATTTACAGCCAAGGGGGCGGAAGTGCATCCCATAGGAAGCCAGGGCTGGGCTCAACTGCAGGTGTTCCTGAGCCTTGTAATGGCACCCTGCAAAACCCTTTGGAAGAACTAGACGTAGCTGATTCTTTCATCTTGTGTGATGTTCATATTTTCTCCACCCAGAATTCATTCCCCTGAATCTCTGATTATAATATTTTGATTTTCCTTGAAGACATAGTCTACCCTTCCCAAAAACACAAGGTTTGGGTGGAACTGGGCTAAGGCATCAAGAGTGGACCCCTGACCCAGGCCTGGTCAATTGCATCTGATTCTTCTGGTCATAGTGATTGGCCCAGAGAGAAAGCACATGACCCAAGACAGACCAATAAAACCCAAGTATGAGATTTTTTTTTTTCTCTATCTCTGAAGTAGATCCTCAGCCAGCGGCCTCAGCCTCCCAAGTCTCTGGGATTACAGGCGGGTGCCACTGCTGGCTATGAGATTTTGCTGAAAGTATTATGAAGGAGAAATTCTCACCAGGGTTCCTAAGATTGGTAGAATGCAAGCTTGGGACCCCTGCTGGTGGTCTTTGCTATTTCTTGGGAAGAATCTACCAGAAAACAAAGTCAATATGGAGAGCAGCAGAGTCTAGAGATGGTAAGTCGCAGAGGCCTGGTGACACCGTTCAAACCCCTATATTCAGCTTTGCCTGAGCAAAGATCAGTCCCTGAATCATATGAGTTCCCTATTGTGCTTAAGCCTCTTCTGTTTTGGCTTGCAAAGCTATGAATCCTGACAAACACATCATGTGACCCAGGTACCATGGCTACCATTATTGAACCAAGAATAAGTTCCCAAATCAAAGGCAACTATTAGAAGGGAGCTTATTCTCTTCTAATTTACGTAGAGGAGAAGGAACTTTCACTTTTCAACAGAAAAACCACTGAAGGGAATTTCTGACCTCTTTCTTTTGTCTCTCCATAAAATGAGGAGTGATTGTCTGGCTGGTGGGCTTGGGAGAAGATGCTCAGCCTGATGTCTGTMCCTTTCTTCTTTTTCTTTTTGCTTGAGCCTGACCCTTGGACACTCAAGATCTCCTCCTCCACCATGGGAGCCTGTCCCTATGGAAAAGGCTTGTAGTAACACAGCCTGCGACTGGGTAAATGAACTTGATCCAGAGGGAGATATGTGTATAACTAAGCCACGGTCTCTAATGCTAATTCTTTGGAGCTCTGGTTTCTGGATTCATGCATCTGCTTCTTAGCGGACAAGTATAATTAATGATCATCCCACCAAACTCCAAAATGTTCATTTAAATTTTCTCCTCAGAAAATTTTGAGAGGCAGATACAAGGGCTGACATTTGGGTGGGCTAAAATAACAGGTAGAGATCCAATTTCTGGTGCAGACGGGGCTCTGGGCTTAAAAGTAATTGTAGGTCAAGTGGATTCTTGACCTGGGTGGTTTGTGATAGCCAGAGTTGTTCAGCAGGATTTTAACTGGCAAATGCCGGAGTACAAGGGCCTCTGGGGCTGGCCTTGACCTAACCGCTGTAAGCATAGCTTTGACCTCAGCAGGCAGCTGGAACAGGGATTAGATCACTGGGGAAAAAGCCTTTCTGTCCCAGAGAAGGCTTACCTTAAAGCGGGCAGAGCTTCAGCTGACAAATGGTTAGGCTCTGGTGGGTAGGAGGCTTTTGCTTCCCATGATACCTCTTTGTAAATCATTCGGCTGGGCCAGTTGAGTCTGATTTGTTTATCGATTATGCAACAACCTGATCACCTTGAGTTTGAGAAAACTAGACTCTGACTTCACCCATAGAATGGGAGTATATTTTATTAATGAGTGGGGGGAYGGAGAGAAAACAGGGCCCTTAGGTAAAAAATATGCTTCTTTGTGGGTGGAGGTAGAGGAAATGAATGACAGCTGAGAGGACAGTTCACGAGACTTATGCTTAAGAGGTTGTATCTGGGGGAAAACAGGTTTGCTCAGGAAATCAAAGAGGACCTGGGTTGCTTTTGAAAATATGCTTCTGTCATATTACCAGGACAAAACTTGAAGAAGAGTGAAAGACAAATAAAGGAAGATTAGCTCTGTCAACTGGAAGAAGGCAGATTTTTTTTTTTTTTTAAAGTTTAAACAGTGGTCTCTTGGGACTAGGCTTGTGGCTCAGGGGCAGAGCACTTGCCTCATACATGTGAGGCACTGGGTTTGATCCTGAGCACCACATAAAAATAAATAAATGAAAAATAAAGATATTTTTAAAAACCCAACAAATCAAAACTGTGATCTMGGTAGATAGACCAGACAGATTGGAAAGG